GGCTGAAACGACACAGGGCCTGTAGGCCCTTGTTTTCAGGCTTTTGGCTTGAAAACGTCACGGGCCTGGAAATCGCCCGTGCAGCCTGTTGCAGGCGCAGAATGTAACACCCCCCCCTCCTTATGAAGTCAAGTCGGGTCGAGGGTGAAGCTGACGATCTGAAGGTGGAACCTGGATGCGGGTGCGATGTGGGCCGAAGATACCGGCTTGCCTTGCATTTTGCGTCCGTAGCATGCGAGAATATCCGGAGCTGTTGCTTGGAGTTCCGCACGGGTCAACCAACGGTCAGCTTTGTGAGTGCAGTACGCAAAAAATCTACCAAGTACTCAGTTGGCCTATTGCCGTAGCGTCGCTGGGAGATGATGTTGTCGACCTTCTGAAAACCGTCCATAGAGGGTGGGTCTTGTGATCGTCGCCCGGGAAAATCGTCATGTTCCGCTGGCATGTACAGAGCCAACTTGGAGCAATGAAAGACTGGGCAGACGGGCAAGTGGGCGGGCAGCTGAATGGTGAAGGAAGGTCCTTCGGGTGCATCCCCAGCGGGTGCCACGATCGGCCAGGGCCCCATCCATTTCGGGAGGAACTTGCCAGAGATATCTTGTTCAAGGCTGAATTCCGCGGTGGAAACCCAAATGAGATCGCCGGCGCGGAATGGGCAAGGAAGACGTTGGCGATTGGCCTGTTCGCTTATGCGTTGCTGCGTCTTAGCCATCTGGTCGCGTGCCTTGACAAGTAGCTCTTCCATCCGATGCAAGAAAAAAAGATGGTCGTCGCTCTCGACCGTTCGTGGAATGATTGTGTCCAACGGAGAAGTGACCGGCGAGCCGTGCTCGAACTCAAAGGGCGACATCCCGATAGTCGGGTGGATGGACAAGTTGTATGCCAACTCGACATCCTGCAGCCGCTCAACCCAATCCTTTTGCTTGGGACGGATGAGAGTGCGAAGGAGAACCTGTGCGGTCTGATGCGCCCTCTCCGTTTGGCCATTGGTTTGGGGGTGGCGAGCCGAGCTTGGCTTGAGAGATGAGCCTCATCGTTTGATGAGCGCCAACCAAAAATCGGACATGAACCGAGTGTCGCGGTCGCATATGATTTCCTTGGGTAACCCTTGGTTCGAATCCAACCGGCGTAGAGAACCTCTGCCAACTCTGGTGCCTTGGCATGATAACGGCAAACCAAAAACACGGTGAACTTGGTGAGTCGGTCGACCACCGTGAGAATCCCATCCACTCTGGTCTTGTGCTTGGGGAACGGGCCGGTAATGTCCATGGCAATCGCTTCCCTTCGCCGCAAAGGAACCGGTAATGGTCGCAACTCGCCGTATGGACGATGGTTGTGGGATTTGCAGCGTCGACAAACCTCGCATGACTCGCAATAGAGTGTGACGTCGCCGAAAAGGTCGGGCCACCAAAATCGCTCGCGAAGTCGACCAATCGTGCGATTGACTCCAAAGTGTCCGGTAGCGGGAGCATCGTGGAATTCGCCAAGAAGCCGTGTACGCAAGTGAGGGTCACTCGGTACACAAAGAAGGTCCTTCCCTCATGTGTGGACAAGCAAGCACCCCTCTTGGATCCGTTAGTGAGAAGGCGCCGAATTAGGAGAGGAGCAATTCGCGTACTTGTCTCGAAACTCGGGGTCGGCTTGGTAGCCGCGGATGAAGCTGTCCCGCAGGTCGTTGTCGATCTCGAAGGTTGAATAGACCGCGGTACAATGATCCGGACGTCGTGAAAGAGCATCCGCAAAACGGTTCTTGACTTCCTCGGAATGTGATCGAGAAAGAAGTCGAACTGGTCAATGAAAGCCATCCATCGAGCGATGGTGTTGTTGACGGTGTCTTGGGTCTACCCATCGGAATTGACTTCGACCCAGGAGGAAGTGTGGCCACCGCTTGAGCGCGTGGACGAAGGCGAGGAGCTCCTTCTTGCGTGCATCATCAATGGAATGCACGACGGAAACTTTCTTGTTGAAGTACTCGATCGGGTGCCAGTCCACGCCATTGTGTTGCTCGAGAAAGGCACCAATGCCATAGTCGGACGCATCCGTAGTGATGCGCGTTGGCAATAGCGGGTCGTATATGCGCAAGACCTCCACAGATAATAGCGGAACTTTGAGAGCCAAAAAGGATTCCCGCGCATCCTCCCCGAAGTCAAACAGTCGATCCTCGCATTGAAGCTTGGTCAAGTGGGCCGCGATCTTCGAGTATCCCTTGATAAAACGTTGGTAGTAGCCGGCAAGGCCAAGGAACGAACGGACATCCGTGACGTTCCGCGGCTCCGGCCACTCTTGGATGCCCTCCGGTGTGAGAAAATGGCTCAAGTATTCCAGCTCTTGCCGAACAAATTCGCACTTGTCGCACTTGGCCTTGTACTTGGCGAGGCGGCGCGTCTCCAACACTCGTCGAAGATGCTCAAGATGATCCTCCAATGACCGACTATAAACGAGAATGTTGTCTAAGTAGACCAGCACGAACCGGTCCAACATCACACGAAACTCGTTGGTCATTGCCGCTTGGAAGGTCATCGGGGCGTTGGTGAGGCCAAAAGGCATGACCACCCACTCAAAATGCCCATACCGCGTCTTGAACGCAGATTTGTAACAATCGTTCGGTCGGATCGAGATTTGATGATATCCCGACTTCAAATCCAACTTAGAAAAATACTCCGCGCCGCCCAATCGCTCGAGAAGATCGTCGATGCGAGGAAGAGGCCCCGCATTCTTGACGGTTTGCGTGTTGAGCTTGCGGTAGTCAATGCACAATCGTAGATCTTTGTTCTTCTTCCGCACGAAGAGAACTGGCGCTCCGTATGGAGAGGTACTAGGGAGGATCCAACCCTTGTCCAACGAATCATCGACTTGCGCGCGGAGGACCGTAAGCTCCTCCTCGCTCATGCGATAAATGCAACCTTTCGGCGGTATGGCACCGGCCTCGAGAATGATCTCGTGAGAGATTGGCCGATCCGGCACCACACCGGTAGGTGACTCGAAGATGTCGGCGAACCCGTCAAGCAACCGCACCACACATGGGTCCGAAGACAAGTCTGTGGGTGAAGAGTCGGCTACCACGATGGCCCGCAGAAAGCATAGGCCGATTTTGTCGGGCTGCTGGTAAGCACAAGTAACCCGGAATGATTTGGCCGTCACCACTTGGCACCGAATTGAAGGGTGCGGAAGAAGAATAGTACACGACACTTCGGCGCCGAAGGTGTCGCGAATGGTACGAGTCCACCTGTGGAAGTTGACCGTGTGATCCGCACTTGCAAGCCAAGGCATTCCCAAAATAATGTCGAAGTCTGTGTCCAAAATGTCAAATGTCATCGGTTCGCATGCACGAGGTGCGAAATACACCGGTACGGCCTCGATGTAGTGGTCGATAAGCTGCTGCGTCCTTCCGTCCGCCAACTTGATCGCCGTCGGGTTTGCCTTCCTTCGAACTTGTGCGCCAAGGCCAGCCTTTTGCATAAAGGTTTGGCTCATAAAATTGCGAGACGCACCGCTATCCAGCAAAGCGCTGCAGGACGCTTTCCCAACTTGGATGCAGACATAGAGGAGCGGTGCGTTGTTGTCGTCGTACCGCTGATTGCGAAACTCGTGGGCCACCTTGGTAACATATGCAAGGATGTCCCCCATTGCGACTTTGTCATCCGTCGGCGAAGTTGGTGGTGCATAGAAGGATAAGTACGTGTGAAGATGAGCGCATAATGCTGCCCATTGCGGTCCCGGTAAGCGGCCCGTGGTCGGGAGAGGAAGCCATGCGAAATCCTCGGATGTGAGCGGGTCCAATACCTCTCTGTTGAACTCGCGCGCCGAATCCCGTGAAGAACCACTTGAAGACAATAACTTGCCGCTGCCGGACGGAGAAGATGTCGCACACACGTCTTGTCCTTGAGCATGAGTACCCAGCGTAGGAACGAGCCGGGCAGCATAGTCCTCAAAAGAATAAAGAAGAGGAGGACTATCGACTTCCGCATGTGCCTCGGAACGAAGGGCGGTCACCCGCGAAGTGACCGGTTCCGAAGGCGTCGAGAGTGTCATCGAGTCACTCCCGACGGTGCTCAGTTTCTCGATTTGCCCTTGCCTTTCGACTGGCAGGCCATTGTGTCGTAGAGATCGCTGTTACACCGCAGACAATAGCGGAATCTCGTGCGTGCCTTGTATGCTTGCTCAGAGAGACTGTAATGGGACCATGGGGCTGAAGCTGCTGCGCCGGGCCCGGGTCTAGATGCGGTGTTTGTCTTCGTCTTGCCGCGTCCTCGGCCTCTGCCGGGGCGGCCACCTTCCTGGGTGGCTGCGAGTCTGTCCCCTTCATTGGCAGACACGGCCTCACTAGTTTGGTCGTTTGGCATTGTCGTCGCGACCACGACCACTTTCGGCCGATGCTGATCTCTGCTCAGGCCTGGCGCAGACGAACGCTGGAGATTCTTGGCCTCTTTGTTCGTGACAATAATCTGCGCGGACTTGTCGAAGAGTTCTGTCGGTGTCGTCAGGGTGTCCTTGACGTGAGTCAAGGCATTGCCCAACGCCGGACACGACCTCGAGATGAAGTAGTGTTTGATGGCTTTGAAGCCCATTTGAATGTCTGGGACGAATGTCAAGCGTTGGTACTCGGCAATCCAGTCAACACTCGGCAGCGTGCCTTGTTCGAAGACCATCAGCTTGTCCATTGCCTTGATCTCCGGCGGCTCTACTTGGAACCGCTAATGCCACGCCACCTTTAGATCATCCCAACTGATCTTGGTATGCAAGTCGGCAGCCACCACTCCGTACTTGGACAAGAGATTGTCCAACCATGCTTGGCACGCGCCCCCTGACTGGGAGTATAAGTACGCGTGGTGCTTGTGTTCTTTGACGTACTATAGCTGCAACGTGAGCTCGAACTTGCGGAACCATGGAAATGGGTCCGTCTTCATCGAGTCGCAGAAGATCTCCTGCCCATCGAACTTTGGAGTTGTCTCGCGCGGTTTCGAGCTCGAGTGGTTGGCGGCAGTACAAATCTGCTGCTCCAACTGTTGCGTTGCGGTTTGCTGTAACTGCACGCCGTCCTTCAGGGATCCGACGTCAATCTCCAATGCCTCGAGGCGATCGAAGGTGTTGGAAGAGATGGCAACGGGGGCGGCGACGGTTTGTTCCAGCTGCTGGAGGCGGCTGGTGAGTTGGTCAAACACCTGATTGTGTGTCTGAACCGCGTCGTCGAGGTTGTGAATGTCCTCCTGCTGTGCAATGCACGTGGCCAGGAGGTCCGTGCGACGGAGAGGAGTTGAGCGATCTTGTTTCCACTCTCTTCCAACTTCCCATTCTCAGCCTCGGTCCGCCAGTGCGCTGCCATTGTGAGCAAAGCTCGCTCTGCACTGAATATCTTCTCGCGTCGTTGAAGTCGTTCTTCATCGGCAGCCTTTGGTGCTGCCTCGTCTTGCTGGTGCTGCTGTTCAATTGCCAACAGACGTGCCTTCTCGGTGTCGTCTGCCTTCTTCTTTGTTGTGGCTGCTACTGCATCTTGCCGTTGCTTGGCTTCGGTAATCAGAAGCAGCATCCGGGCCTGATAGGCCTCGCCCGTTTCCCGGACTTCTGGTCCATGACGGCTGTTTGTGAGCGCAAAAGCATAGACCAAGCCGGGGGCCTGCTGACGTGGTACTCCCTGCTGCTGACGTGGCACTGCTGTCGGCTGAAGTGGTCTGCTGACGTGGCCTGCTGACGTGGTCTGCTGATGTGGCAACTTACCAACGCCGCTGCAGGGGGTACCCGAAGACAGAGAAGGTAAGGCGAGAGGGGGCAACAACATAGGTGGGGAGGGGTGGGTGGGGATAAATCGCCCAGATAAGGAGCCACTAATCAAAAAAGAAAAGTTTGAACTTCGCAAAAAAAAATTCGAGAAAATAAAAATCCCGAGTTTTGCAAGTTCAGTAGGTCTCCCAACCTCCCTTGAAGTGTGAAATTATCAATGAGAAAAAAAATTCGAACTATCAGACTGCCAATGATTATCAGGTAGTGAAAATCATAGAACTGCGAATAAGAAAAATTCCGAAAAGAAATATCCAGTATTCAGACTTACTCAGATGAGAGTATTCGCAGTTTGAAAACTGGTACTGCAAGAGGGATTTTCCGTACTGCTTTGAAAAAAACAGGTTTCGAAAAAAATATTCCGAACTTCCAAATAACGGGAAATTGCAAACGGAAATCGAAATTTTTGAAAAAAAGATATTCCGGATGTTCCAACAACGAAATTTCGAATTTTCAGAAGAAAAACGAAAACGGAAATTTCAGATGTTGCGCTATTGCGATTTTCCACAACAGAAATAGCGAGAAAACAAAATCCAAGAAAAGAAAAGAAAAATCGATTTTTGGCAGTGGTCAAAATCGTGATTTTGGGGGCTCACTAGTGTGCTCTAATCAATCAATCAAGACTAATCAGCTACTTAGTCCCTGCACACGTGTCGGATCAGGTTGTCCTGATTCACGTGTGGTGTTCCGATACCAACTGTTACATGCCCAGTTGGGGGATGTAGATATAAACCAAGGATCCGCAATGTGATGAAAAGGACTGAATGGACAATGCAGTGCAAGTGAAATCTCAACAAGCAGTGTACATCCTGATACATACAAAATGGTGCCTTACAGCACAGTGGAAGACTTAGATACAAGTCCTGACCTGACCGGGACTGACCTTTTTCGCGTAGTACAAGATAGCGCAGCAGAATACTAGAATACTAATGACTAGCCCAATCAATGTTTACAACGTAGACCAAACATACATCATTCTCACCACACGGTGTGAAGGGAGCCTGGCGCTATACACAGGAAGAGGCGCGAGGTCCAGTTCATGCACATACGAAGAGGAGGGGATCAGACGGAGAAGAGGAGGGGAGAGATGGGAAAGTCGTCAACACGAAGTCTCGTTACAAGTCCCAAATAATCCCTGGTCAAAATTTCTGAAGTCCAATGTCGAGTCTGGATCCAAATGTCACCAAGCTCTCTCTTTTTCTCTCTCTCATATTCTGCTGATGCAGTGAAGTCAGATAACGAGAGGGTGAGAGGGAGATGGTGGACTGAGAAGAGGAAGAAGAAGAACTCTCTCTCTCTCTCGTATGC